TTCTGATGTTATTTTTACCATATATATAATATATAAAGAGATAATAATAAATTTTTATATTTTTCTGCGTAGAAACACAGTATTATTTACCACACCGCTTGTCTGGGGATTACATTGACCATTGAACCAGAATCCACCATAAATGGTATTTTCTTTCCTGCAATGTGAGTGTCAAATGTACCCCTAGTGCGCAACCTATAGAAACAGTTATATTCCCGCTCCGCCTCATCTTGATTGAGCAGCATTGAGGCAGAAACTTTTGGATTGGTTTTGTTGTCTTTTATGTAGGTTAACTTGGAGTTCTTGTGTCCCAGAATTTGTTTCTGAATTTTCTTGATTATTTCTTGAGCATATGTTGGTGAAATCAAAGTGAGTTGTGAAAACGTAGTTGGTATCTTTAAATTGTCCAATTCCGAGACTAGTGCTGATTCCGCGGTCTTGTCCCCTTTTTGCGCTGGTGTTTTTCCTTGAGGGTCCGAGATTTGTCCTGGAGTTTTTCAAGTGGCTGGAATGTCTTGAACCAATTCTTCTAGTTCGTCCAGTTGGTCCACGTCCATTTCCAAGTTGTCCTTTTTGACCGGAGTTTTGCATTGTCCACGGAGTGCTTCTGCTTGGGTTGTTGCTGTGTTTGCTTTGAGTTTGACTTTTTCAAAGTTTCCAGACCCTAATCTGGGTGGGTCCCAATCAATCTTATGTAAGGATGAGATATACTCATGTTTGTTGGTTGAAGGTGGTAATTGTAGTGGGGTTGAAAACACTGCCGGGTTCTCTGTCCTATAAACAGCATTTATTGTGGGCTTAGGTTTTGCAGATTCCGCAGCAACTACAACCCTAATAAGTCTTGAAGTGTCCCAGGGAATCTTTTCCCCGTTTGGGAGACAGAAATTGCGCCCGTCTCATTTGACCAGCCCCGCCTTCTCATCTTTTTGGGCTTCATAACATACCTGCGTGGAATGTCCTTCTCTGTGACAGTACCAACAGGGTTGAGGTTCATAGAGCCACCCAGCGGGTCAATCATTCCCTTGTGAGTATTCTGTTTTTGGTGGGTTTTCAATTTTCCCAGTAAGAGTTTCAATGGCTTTTGCCAAATTATCAACCTGTTTTTGCAGCATTTTGGGAGGATTTTCCTCTACCATCTTCTCACGCTTTCTGGCATCACCTTTCTTCTGATCCAGACTCCGCTGCATCATGTGATTGGCTTCAGCAAAACCGCTTGCTGCAAACACATTTATGGATCTAGCCCGAATTTCATCTTTGGCTACCTCAATAACGTCTGCCAAAAGAGGGGGTTTGTTATAACCATCCTTTCCAGTTCCATCATGCTAGCTTGCAAGATGGTCCAGTTACGGGTATCATATCCGTCCATTGACTCTAATTCCTTTTTCAATTCTTCGCTTTTCACAAATCTACACACCTGAAGTGCTTTATCAAAGCCACCAGCACCGTATATTTCTGCTGCTAGTTTGAATCTGTGCAAAAAATCCTCAAAGTTTTCGCCATTGTACTTGAGGTCTGCTTCCTTGATAATAACCGCTGTGGAACTCCAACAGTACTGGCCAGTGGCAGTTGGTTGAGGGGAAGGTGCTGAGAAGCTGCCCTCGTCGTAGGTCCGGATACGAGGTGTGATCAAAACAGGAAAGGTGAGGTTGGATTTGTTGAGAAGACAGCAGAATTGAGTTCTGCAGGCGGTGGTGTGGTTTGAGTTTGAAGATCTGAATGGAATGTGGGGTAAGAAGGTTTGAGATGAGAAGAGCTCAGAAGATCAGGATCAATAAGATTTCAATAAGATTTGATGGGTCTTTCTTGGATCAGAACAGAATGCCATGCCGCCCATCATCTAAGTTCAGCTGCAACTTAAACTCTGGGGAGTGACATGTCGCAGACATGTCATCATATCCCTAACTAAAACAAAACTCAAGCAGGAAATAAAAAAAAAACAGGAAACAAAACAAGACAAGACAAGACAAGACAATGGAAAACAGAAACAACATAAACATAAACAAAACCAACCAACAAAGTGAGAATAAACCAACATACAAGGATGTCTTAGGACCAAGAAAAATGAAAATGTCTTATGAGTAGTATAGAAAATAGAAAATATAAAATATAAAATAAGACTGAAATGAAAATGAAAACAAAATACCATAAAATAAAGTAAAACAAAATAAAATAAATGACAACAAAAATCATAATAAAATCAACTAAATAATGGGGATAGGATAATTGGACAACAGAATCTGTGAATTCAATTTCTTTAGGCACTGGATCTTGAGGTCTTGAACTCTGAACTGAAGGGTCTGAAGCCAAAATCTTGAAATTCGATCCTAGGAGGCCCTGTACCATTTAGTACACCACACCGCAGGTCTTGTCCTGGTTTTGTCCATTTCTTGAGGTTCTTCACTTTCCGTGGTTATGCCATAAGTTCTGTTTCCAAGGTTTCCTCCTTGGCCAGGTTTATTTCCGGTTGAAGTGTTTGCTAATTGTGTGTGTCGGTTGTTTCCATATGTCCTGTTGTGCCTTATGTGTTTCATTAACTTATGTACGTTGTTGAGACATTCATTGTCAGTTTTTCTCAAACCTCTCCTGCTGTTCCAGGAATGTTGTTTCCTTGTTTTCTTTTTTTTTTGTTCCCTCCATGCAACAATGGGCCGCTATGATAACTGCTACTGTAATGTAGCAGAATTCTGCTAATGTTTATCGTGGTGCAGCAGAATTTTGCCACAACTGTGCTAACTACAGAAGCCCACAGTGGACAACAACTGTACCAATTCAATTCAATTTTTTTTTTCAAATTTCAAAAACAAAACACACTTGTACAAATTTATAAAAAAAAAATTTGTTCATTATGTCACACCAAAATGAACTTTGAGCCTCTGACATCCCCTGACATAACACCTGACTGTGAAATGCCACCCATCCAAGGGTTTTTTTCTTCATATTTTGAGCTGTGAGCAAGTGTCAACACTGATAAAAATTTCCTGGAGAGCCGCAAGAATTTCCGGAGAATTTGTGCTTCAGGGTCTGCAGGTTGGAGAGAAAGAGAGAAGAAAGAGTAAGCTATTCTAAAAAGGGTTTGATTGAAACTAAGATCGATGAATTGGAGAGTAGGCAAGTGAGAGAGGATGAGTTCATCAAGCTGCTTGAGGGCAAAGAGGGGCCCTATTCTGAGTCTGAGGACCCTAAGAGTGTCAGCCTCTATGCTACTAACCTGTAAGGGTTGTGCTCTGAGTGTTAACCCGAAGAGTAAGTGAGAAGTTTTAGGAGTGGTTAAATCCCTCAACCTGTAAAAGAAACCCCCTAAATGTCACTGAGGAATGGTACTTCTACTGCTGACTCATCCAATATTCAATTGGGCATCCGGATCAATCCTCTGCATGGATTAATAGACTTCCAAGGTGAGGACTTCTTCAACTCACTTGGGATAAGTCTTTTAACAACAATTCAGATTAATAAGTGTATCAACACTTAAGGACCAGAATTGTTTAACCAGGGAGATAATTCTTTATGCAATAGAGATAAGTAGAAATTTCTTGAATCTGAGCAAAGTAAATCGATTTAGGTCTAAGGTAGCTGAGTTGTAGAGTTATTGGTGGTCTAAGTCACTAATAATCACGGTACAAGTGTTGGTTTGATGCTACTAGAATTTACTGGGGGAAAAAGGTAGGAATCTGAGCTCCTTAAATATTCTACAGGGGGCTCAGGGGAAGAGGAGAGGCCCTCAGGGCACTAGGGAGCTTCTTAGCAGCTCTACAATTTCGTGTAAGGATGGGAGCTGCAGCTGTGCAGTGCTATGCATGGGTGGAAGGTCCTAGGACATGAGATCATACATGCATAATTGAGTTTTGTGGCCTATTTCTCACGTAATTGAAAAGGCTACAGTTACTGTGCAGGGGCTGTGCAATTGTAGAGTTAGTTGCATACGTGTAACTCTGCTTATGCAAGCTTGAGATCATGAGAAATGTGTGTCCTTCATGCATAATTCAGTCTTGCATGTAGAATTTGGGCTCCTTTCCCGTATAGGCTGCTTTGAATTATGCAAGCTTTGAATTAGAGCACAAAAGGGTCCTGATGGCGCCATCCAAGAAGGTTATGATGCAATCTTATGCCCTGATGATGTGATCAAGGAAGGGTAAGCTTCAGATAAATCTACTTAGCTTATTCCTCATCCATTTCACACTTCTACTAGCTGATTCTTTATACATATGTAATTATTTATGGCTTATAAAATATGTAAATAATGTATAAGAATAAAGATTGTTTTAATACTTTATTCTAATGATATTTCTGTGAAATCCTAGTGATATTATATGTACAATACTCAAGGGGATTTCACAGTTAATTATAGAATTAATAAATATAAATTATGAATTAAGATTAAATGTAAATACATATTTGTTTATTTATTATTTTAACAACAATGTATAATATTTTCCATTATTCAATTAGTTATTATTATTTGCAGTTACTAGGTACATTTCACGTACTGTGAAAGGTGCTCTGTGGCTGACAAAGAGAATCCAATGATTTAGCAATTTGATTGAGCAGATTGACAAGCTGATTATTATCTCTGTATCTCCAAGCAAGGGAGGAGATTAATTGCATGTAATTCTTGATGAGGTGCTGATGGTTTGTGGTATCTGCAGCCCGGCTGGTGATTGTCAGATGTTTGTGCTGTTCCTCGGGAATTCAATTGGCTTTTCCAATTCAAGAGTTTACTGGGTGGTTGGGGTCCAGCGCTTGAGGGAGTGTGTGGCTGCCACAAGAGACTTGGCTGGGCAAGCCTTGTCTATAAAATGAGAGGCTCTCTCCTGCCAAACATTATTCCCCATAGCTCATCCATCAGTTTCTCAGTTGAAAGGCTGGACTGATTGGTATGGGCTGGTCTCAGGTACTGCAATGGTAAATAAACAATTCCCACTTCATTCACTGACACTCACATTGGGGCTTGAACTGACAACCTCCCAAGGGGGAGGGGAGGGAGGACTTACTCTGGTGTGTCAAAATCTGGTTTGCAGTTTGGTGGGTTGTCAGATATGCCTCACCAGCTGATGCGTCATTGAGGGGGGTGGTCATTTGAGCTGTGTATGTAGGAGTGAAGAGATGATTGATGAGATAAATATGTAGAACAATCATCAATTGAGTTAAACTCTTCTCACCCTGCTGGGAAGTTGTCTGGTGCAGCCTGATTGACTGCTTTTTGAGGCAAAGTGCGGTTGGAGGGACAAGTGCAACTGGCAGTGGCACCGGACCAAGGGCAGGGGTTCTGGGGGGGGGGAGTAGAAAACTGTTTGTAGTTACCAGGGGTTAGTGGTGGCACATTGAGAGGTGGGGACACAAAGAATAACCCTTTGATATCCTTCCTGTATCCATTTGATCAAGGGATGGATACGTGATGGATACAAAGTGGATACAAAGGATTTACAGACAAATTATATTTGATACCTGAATTGTACCCCCCCCCCCCAGAACTCAGACCTTATGATCAACTCGGTTTGACCGTTCACAAAAATGATAAAACTTAAGGTAAGCTGGTGCCTATTTAAGACCTTCCCCTCATCCAACAACTCAGGTTTAAGGAATTTGATAGATTGATAATGACTAAAGAGATGGTAGACTTTTATTCTCTCTCATTTCAAGATAACCTATTGAGTCTAACGCTCTTGTTGATTTCCCTTGTCTAGAAATCTCCCCGCATGCGCACTGGTGGGAAACCACCGATTGCCCAATTGCAAAGGTGGTCTGTACAACATCTGGACTCAGTTAACCTGCACATTTGGCTAACTTTTTGAAATTACCAGGATGGCCAAAGAGTCAGCCGAGAGGAAACATTGGCAGGAAGAGGCAAAGAAGAAACAACAGGAAGAAGAGGCAAAGAAGAAACAACAGGCGGAAGAGGCAAAGAAGAAACAACAGGAGAACAGCTCTGCGGCTGCCTCAGGGAGTACATCTCGCGGCCCTGCTGAATCCACGAACGACTCTGAATCAGATGGTTTGGAAGAAATATCCAAAGCGGAATTCAAGAAAAAGATGGCCAACAGTTGCCCCAAGTCTCAAAAAATGTAGTTGTTATCTTTCTTATTTGTCCCTGCCGCTGTGGGATTGTGGGATGCCTTATGGTATTAAGAAAGATAACAACTACATTTTTCAGACTTGGGGCGACTGTTGGACATCTTTTTCTTGAATTCCGCTTTGGATATTCTTCCAAACCATCTGATTCAGAGTCGTTTGTGGATTCAGCAGGGCCGCGAGATGTACTCCCTGAGGCAGCCGCAGAGCTGTTCTCCTGTTGTTTCTTCTTTGCCTCTTCCGCCTGTTGTTTCTTCTTTGCCTCTTCTTCCTGTTGTTTCTTCTTTGCCTCTTCCTGCCAATGTTTCCTCTCGGCTGACTCTTTGGCCATCCTGGTAATTTCAAAAAGTTAGCCAAATGTGCAGGTTAACTGAGTCCAGATGTTGTACAGACCACCTGTGCAATTGGGCAATCGGTGGTTTCCCCCCAGTGCCCATGCGGGGAGATTTCTAGACATGGGAAATCAACAAGAGCGTTAGACTCAATAGGTTATCTTGTACATGAGAGAGGATAAAAGTTTACCATCTCTTTAGTCATTATC